ATGAACGTATCTTAAATACGTTTATTTTCTACATATCTTTGCCATTTATTGTCTTGCTTATAATAATGATAATAGTCATTTATAAATATCATTTTAGTGCACACATTTGAAATCAGTAGGCGAGGCTGTAATTTCGCCAGCTGTTCTCATGAGCGAGACAGAAAATAATAGTTTAACATGCCAAAAAGCTGCTGTGTCGTTTATTGCACCTCAAACATTAAAACAAATCCAGAGTTATGTGTTTCTGTACAGAAACACATAACTCTGGATTTGTTTTAATGTTTTAACTAAGAAACGTAACGTGGGAGAAAATATGTTTCTAGAAGATATGTAGAAAATAAACGTATTTGAGATACGTTCATAACGAACGTAACGTGGGAGAAAATACGTTTCTTGCTAAACGTAATTGAGAATGCAGTTTAGTTCTGTGGGAACGTAATTTTTAGGAGACAGGGTTGGAGGCTCATTAGGGTATAAATGCTAAAGAGGCCTCAACAAGCACAAGTCTGAATCTCCGTTTCTATAATTCATTTAAAGATAGTTGATTTTTTTGTTGAGCTTTTTGCATACTACTGTCAATGGCAATGTCTTTTATAAAAATAGTTTCCGCGAAAACGCTTGTTTTTTTTACCTAAAGTCATGTAAAAGCGTTGATATTGTGTGTCATGTTGATGCATATTGTTTAACTTTGGTGAGAATCAGACAGGCACACGAATATGTAAGTGATATAGATATTGAGCCTCATGGGAGGCATGTGGCGCAGTGGACTAGTGCGTTGGTGTTCGAATTAGGGGGTCACAGGTTCAAATCCCACTGCAGTCAGCATGTCGTTGTGTCCCTGAGACACTTCACCCCAAATTGCTCCTGTGGGGATTGTCCACAGTATTGAGTATGTTCGTCGCTTTGGATAAAAGCGTCTAACAAGTAACATGTCATGTAAAATTGAAAAAGATAATTATGGAAAGTCAGCGTCGATAAGTAAAAAGGTGACACCTGCACACTTCATCTATGCAACAGAAGTTTTATTGACTATGTTTCGATCATACATGGATCTTCCACTGATCAAAAGGTGGTCGGATCAACATTTAGGTGCAGTGATGCATATTTTACCATCTAATCTAATCCAATGTTATGCAATCCCACCCCAAACGTTAATTTACATATTACAAAAAGTAAAACATTTATTTATAACCATAACAACATTCTTCGCATAAGCTAACCAAAGCAGTTTGAGTTGCCAAACTAAAGAGGTGGCAGATCAGAAAACGCTCATCAGAACCGATATATCTCAACATTTTGACATCTATGCATCTAAGGAGGCGTGTGGTGCAGTGGGATGTGCGTTGGTGTTCAGATCAGCGGGAGCACAGGTTCAAACCCCACTGCAGTCAGCATGTCGTTGTGTCCCTGAGACACTTCACCCCAAATTGCTCCTGTGGGGATTGTCCACAGTATTGAGTGTGTAAGTCGCTTTGGGTAAAAGCGTCTAACAATAACATGTAATGAAATGTCTATGCTTTTCAAACAAACCTAATTCATGACAAAACATCAGGAAACACTGCATGCGTCATTTGAAAAGCTGCGTCATTTTGGTTTGAGAGTCATCCACAGGCACAGTAATCGTTCAAAATGAGTGCTTCCACTTACTTTTCATACACTTTTGACGTTTACCACTTTATATACATGGCATTTGCAGGTAACCTGTATATAGAATGAAATGTTTATGCATGCAGAGAAGCCACGTTTGCTTTTCCCTTAGGTCATATATACGTGATTGCAGATCGTGAGAGTGCAGAGGTACTGACAGTCGAGGAAAAACCTTCATCAGTGCACCTTCCCCAGACAGTCAGCCTGCAGTCAGCCAGCGCGCTCATCCTCACTCTGCATTCATTATTAATCACAGAATTACACCGGCGCTCTACAAACCATGTGGGTTGAAGGGGGGACAAGTCGTGATAGAATATGCAATTGTCTGCATAATGCACAGCAGGTGAGGTATCAGGCTGATATGAAACGCAAATATTGCATGATGGCTTTGCACTTATTACTGTCAAATGAGGATGGCGGCGTCGGGGGCCAGTGGTGAAGTGTCAACACAGATCCCGGAGCAGAGAAAATGTATCTGACAGGGTGCTGTGTAAATAAATCTGATTGAATGTGGGTATTGGGAGTATGAAATTCTATCAGCTTGAGGCCGGGCCACTGATTTATTTTGTATTTTTATTCACCCACCGACATGCTTTGTTGAACATTCTTCACCACAATGTCTTCAGAGCCACCCAACACAGGCCTCTAAAGCACTGTGACCTTCAATGCTAGAGCAATGTGTCATTGAAGTGCACAGTCTCCCACTATTGACCTGTGATCATCTCCACAGGATAAGCTGCGAGGTTAAGTGCCATCAACTGGGGGTGGCAAGAGCCTCTTTCACTCATTTCACATCATCACTGACAATCAATCTGCCCAAACCAGCCTGATGTGCTGATGTCCTCGCCCCCCGAAGGAAGAGCTCAGTTGCAGCAGCATTGGAAGTAGAATAAAATGAGTAGAAATCAAAATGCTGCTGTGAGCGGTGACTATGTGCCGAGATAATCCCCATTCAGCAGCGATGTAAGGACTCGTCCAGGACCAGAGAGAGAGACGAGGTGAAAACTAATGCAGCCGGGTTTAGCTTCACCTTTGATGTTTGTACCAGAAATCCAAGGTGCTCAGAGCCTATCTGTCCTTGAAGTGCACACACCCAGGAATCCCTGGAGAGGGGGAGATATTCTAATCCGAGAGCCAGCTAAAACCTGGAGAGGAGAGTTGACATTGTGTTGAATTTTTTTTTCAAATTCACTGTGGGTGTCTTCTGATCATAGTTAGAGAGAAATTGCATGGATTCACTCACTAATGCATATTTATCCTGAAGTCAGTTCTACATCTGGAGATACTTACCTTGTAGAGAGATGATTGTATACAACACCTTAAAGCAGTAGTTCATGTATGAATGTATGCTGTTAAAGTTCAGTTGGCAATATGTGCTTCTCCCACAAGGAAGTAGTCTTAGTTTCAGCTTTTGGTTAAAAACTGTGATAAATGTAAAAAAAAAAAGGTTAAAGAGCCCCTAATATGTTTTTGGGGTTTCCCATTTCCTGTAGTGTGTTAAATAGGTTTGTGTGCATGTTAATGGTCTGCAAAGGCTAAAGTTCCCTCCAGAGGAAGTGTATCTCCAACACATTCCCCCCCCTGCCTGAAACACCTCCACACCTTTGTTTTCTTTCTGAACATAGTGACATCACTATGGAAAACGTGCGCTTCTATTGGCCAAAGCTTGAACACATTGTACGTGATAGGGTAAGGGGCGGGACATCTCTAAGCGGTTGACCAATCATATCAGAGCCGGACAGCTAACCAATCAGAGCAGACTGGGCTCTGGTTTCAGACAGAGGGTGAAAAGAAGTACTGCAGCACAGGCAGTGTGAGAAAAATTAAGAACTTTTTGAACATTAAGGCATGGAAACGTGTCACAGGAGAGACACTACATACTGATATACACTTGAAAATTAGCATAATAGGTCCTAAATGTTGTTTTGTATTGCATCCACTCCCAAGAAAAGTAGCTTTTACTCCATAATGATTGTTGTCATGAATCAGTCTGAACCCCAGTTGAATCTGAATAACATAATAATGTATAATGAACTGCTGTTGAGCTCATTATTGGAAATCATACCTTTTTTAAATAAAGATTCCACCAGTTACTTGAAGTATGAGGCAATCTTTAAGGAACCATTACATCTTATTAAACTCAGAAAGCGTGCATTTGATGTCATCATCAATGACACTTTCAAGGGTGCCGTCGATCCGGCGGTTTTTGTTTCTTCATGTTCTTCAAAGGACGCATAGCCATTGGACAGGTTGGCAGAATGATTCATCCCATAGTGTGAAGCATCAAAACCAATTTGCAGTGTTGGACATTAGTCTCTGTGTTTGTGTGTGCCGGTGATGTCTATATTTCTGAGGCAGTGTGTGTGAATACTAAGGTCAGGCTGACATATTGGTTTGTTGAAAGTATTGAGTTAGTGTTGCCTCATTATTATTACTCAGCTATTGGCCATGCAGACAAGAAAAATTGAAAGGTAGTCTATTTCTTTTTGTGAAGCTACAAGGCTGGAAATGCAATTGTTTTAGCAGCAGTTATAGCTGTTGTTTCTCTTGTTGCACATTATTGCATATGTGTATAATTATTGTCCTGGGTTTCCTTGGGAAATATTACTGCCTGGAGAAATATTGACTGAATATTTAGTTTTTGGACAACTCCCAAAACCACATGTGGAGAAATGTGTATTAAGACAGAAGGTACAATTAAAATTCTGACATTTAATTGTAAGCCAGTTAGAGGCAAATACGTTTCAGACCAATTACAATCCTGAGAGAATTATGGATTAAACAACTTCAATTTAAAGATATACATTTCAGGCAACATGTTTAACATTTATTGACAGACTTTCAAAGTTATAATGGATCAGCTTAAAGAAGTTTGGCTCCATAAAAGGAACTCTCATTACTTTATTTAGCACCAAAAAACAGTTTTAGCAGTTCATGAGTGTGATTACACTGCTTTAATCAGAAGCTCTTATGGGTTTCATCTGCATAAAAAGGTCCTCATCTTGGATACCTGGTATTTATTTTGGCATTCCCACTGTCAAGGTTAAAGGGTAGTAAAGCTAATAAACCCCCACTTTTTAAATAGCCAAGCTACTGTCAATGGGGACCACAGTTTTATCAATTCACCGAAAAAACCGTGTAAACCGAAAAAAGCAGAGGACCGTGAACAAATCCCTGTGGCACACCAGAAGTGATTTGCACGAGATGATGAACCAATAGTGAGGGTGCTATGGTTAAAATTAGAGCACCAGTATCAGATTACAGTTGTGATCTATGTTATATATGTGTCTCTTAACAAAGCACTGTCAGCAGGTTGGCTTAGAATTTGTTTTATAATTTCATGTTCTGGTTTTTTTATCCACAGATCTCCCCTGGCGGACTGAACAAACGAGTCGACTCTACGCCTGTCCTCAGTCTAATTGTGGTCTGACGGCACTCCCCGACATCAAAGGTACACCCACCTCTCTCTCTACACCTCCAGCCTCCTTTAATCACTTTGTTCAGCTCATCATTGCAGTAATTACATTTCCTGACAGTTTTTTTTGGTTTGCAAATCCAAGACTTCACTTTCTCTGTTATCTCTCCTCAAGAGAGCTTCGCTTCACTTCACTTTGTCGCTGAGGTACCTTGTTTGATTTTTATTTCAATACATTCAAGAGCTTTTTCCTCCAGGAAATGCACTGTGATTTCAATAATTCTCATCGTTGAATGAACTCAGGAAAATGCTTCACAGTTTTTGGTGGGTTTTAGAGCTGAGCAGGAGAGAGCATTTGTTCTGGTCTACACCGGATAGAGAACCAACTAATTCTGTGTTTGAAGTCTTGTTGAAGATATAACCTGAGACACCTAATTGCAATTTGCATGTCTTACGTGCATGTCTTTGCTTTACTTTAAACTTGGATTGACTTTTTGTGCCTGTTCTTTTGTTTCTTTTTACAAGTATGAAAGTATATCAGAAATAATAACTGATTTCCATGTCTATAAAGCTTTGTGCATTGCTTCTGGCATGTTCAAAGTAACCTTTTTGTTTCCACTTTAATCATATTATCCCAATCAAGAACTGACTTAAAGCTCATAGATATGCAGATGCTACTTGATGAACCTTGACCTGCTGACTATTAGCTGCTTATAATGTAAGAACTAAAGCTTTTTATTATATAATATCCGACGTGGAATTTCGGGTCAGAATGTAATGCAATGTCAACATTTAAATGGAAGAGAAAGCACTTTAAAAATGAAAACGTTACTCCTATTTGTAGAAGCTTTGAACCACCGAACTGTAGCATGTTTCTATCATGGTTAAGTATATCAGTATCAATTAGTCGAAATGAACTGATCCATCTCTTCAAAGAGACTAGAACATAAATGTATTTGCATCTAAAAGTATTTTTTATTTGTCATTGTTTTCCGGCCTCAAATATTCCACATAGCGAAGTTCAAAGGATGAAATAAAATCTGGATGGTAAACGGCTACATTCCTTTTCTTCGAGCTGTGAAAGTGATCAGCTATGGACTCCACAAGCCTCACTAAGCTTTACTTATCCAGGCATCACTCAGCCATACCCCTCTGGGAATTAACACTCACTTTAATGTTTCTCAACGCAACAATTAAGGACTAGAATCCTTAATGTAAGGGAGGTTTATTGCTGGTGACAGTGGATTTAAAGATATGTAGACTCTTAAAAATGTTAGTGACTTAGTGTGTCAGTCCAGTGTTACTAAAGAGTATTAGATATTGGAAATGACAATCATTGGCTTGTCTTCTCCCTGCTACAGTTCTACTCTAAAAAACAGTTTTGAAAAATATATGAAGATCCAGAGATAATGTTTTTCTTTATAAGTACTGTAGGACTTATTCAAACAGACTTTCGTGTGCATAAGTAGCACTTTCCAATACAGCAGATTGTCATTATGACAAATTAAATAACCATCAGACACTCTCAGCAACAGCTTTGACATATTCTCTTAAGAGCTTGAAATGTCTGGCTATGAAATTACTAGGCTCTTCATATTAGACATTTCCATTCTTACTTTTTAAGTCCCCTCTTTAAAGAGATTCTGGAAGTTTCGGGAAAAATGATTCTCTCTCTTTTTGTCCTGATCCAGTTATCAGGACCTGTCTGAAAATGAGCTGATCAGATTTTGGCAACTTTATGATGTCATAAAGATTTTTTGGCTTGTGTAACCATTAGCCAATCAGCAAAAAGTGGGTAGATTGATCATTATTCCAACCACCTCTTCCATTCACAAGCTGGTAGCAGTGGCGGCGCCAGGGTATGGCTGGGGTAGGCTACAGCCATACCAAGAAATGGCTTAGCCCCACCATGAAAAATTATGTTAAAGTAAGCAAAAAAAAGTCCTCCAACTCGTAAATTGCACAGACAGCAGCAAGATTGATTTCAGTAGCCACTTGTCTGGAAATTCCGAAGACTAGAAACGGTTTTGAAAACTTTTGTAACGTAGTGATCATCTTCTCAATAAAATATTTTTGCTAATGTCTTCTGGCCAATCAGAATCAAGATAACGGCGTGGTGTTGTTGCAGGAAGTCCCGACGGAGAATACTTTTGAAATAGAAATCAACACGTAATGAAATAAGACCCCACGGTTTGATGATTAATAGGTGTGTGTCTTACATTTTGACACACAGAACAATGGGGACTATCTACCCTTATCCACAATGTAAAGTAATTCACACAGCCTCTTCTCTCTGTGAGGAGCAGCAGGTTTAGCTTTCAGAACAAGGTAACAAAAAACTAAACAGGCTTGAAGTAATAGATTAATTTATTTTCTTCTCAAGAGAGTACCAGAATGTTATTATAATTTTATGTTAGTATTTCAAAATTGAGATTTTGATTGAGACAGGGACATAATCTAAACCTCACGCGTGGCGTTTCACTGTCAAGGGGGGCGATATAGCGTGTATGTTATTACATTGCAAATACTGACTTGAGCCACACCACTGTATGGGTTAGCTCTACCATAGATTACCCAACAAAAATACTCCGGAGCTGCCACTGGCTGGGAGCAGGTGTTTTTAAATACCCAATTGTGCCTCTGGGAGCTGCATCCTCAGATGGGCATATGATGTGTTTAGACAAATAATTAATTTGAGCTGCAATTACAGCCTCTAGAAAGGGGCAAATTGGCGGTGAGGGGGGAGGAAGAACCCCACCACCCTATATTCCCTAATCAGGTAAATGTTGCTAACTCAATATTGGGCACTGATGGTCACACTCAATTATCCTCATCTTTTACCTCCCAATCTGTTCCCCATCCCCCTAATAAACCCGTATCTGAAACTCCCAAGACACACGCCACATGTCGCTTCTGTTCTTGTAGGCCTACTCATTTGCAATAGTCCTCTGCTTTGAATCCTGATATACTGTAAGAGCAAAGTCAAAGCACTTTAGTTAAGCTAATGTGGATTTGTGGCTAAGAGTTAGGTGACAATGTCATCATGCCTTCCTGTAAATATGAATTATATTATATTTTATTTTATTTACTTGCACTGTTTTATCTGTTTGATTGTGTTGCACTGTTGGAGGAGCCTGTGACCTAAGATGTTCATTGTCATAACTACACTGTAGCTATTTACAAATGACAATAAAAGCCTTGAAAATGAAGCTACAGTTTGCAACAGGTTAGCAAAGCTTAGCATTGAGACTGGAAACAGCTAACTTTGCTAGGTTAAAAGGTAACTAAATCCACCTAGCAGCTTTCTAAAATTGTATATCTTGTCTGTTTCATCTGTAGTGACTCACCCTTCCAAGAACTAGTGGTGCCATGCCATTGTTTCAGTGGCCATTTTTTCTGAAAACTCAATAATCTGAAAACTGTCCCATTGGACCGAAAGCCCAACTCTGTATCCCAATAACAAAAGGCAATTTATCAACCCTTTGTTACGAAAACACACTCTAAAATCTTATCTCCCATAATGTGCTTGAAGATCTAACCATTGTTAGTTTGACTTTCCTCAAAGAGTAAAACCTCATTTGACTTTCCTCACACTTACATAACACTTGTGGGCTGCACAGCATGAAGGGTCTAACACCAATAACTCAGTGAATGACAGGTTCTCTTCACAAGTTCAGACTGAAGATTTGGTAAGATCTGCCCTTGGCATCTGTCAACATTGGTGGTTTCAAAAGGCAGTGAGTGGAGAGCCATCTATAATGTCCTCTGACTGCACACAGCAGACTGATACCAAGCCATTTTGTGATGGTTTGTATCAAAGGAACAAGAGATCAAATGTTTGGGTATACACAAATAAAATAATCTAATTTTGCCAATGGGGAAATCACCAAGGTTTCAGTTCAGGCAGATAGGACATGCTTCTCCTTTGAAGCATTATTTTGTGATGTAGTTGCGGTTTCATATAGGAATATAGCCAGACAGAAAAAAATACACTTCTTAAATGATTGCCAGTTTACTGCACAGAGGGGTAAAATGGCAGAGGGTCTTGTCATTGGAATATGCGAGTTTGATGGCCCTTGTGAATAAGATACCAAGGATTTATTTCCGGATTTTCCAGCGAGCCTTTGAAGTGAACAAATGCTGCATCTCATCTGCCGAGCCCGTTCAAATTGTGGACGGTGTGTGTGGATATATTTATTGCTGGGCTATTTTTAGAGCTGAGGATTCGTGCTGAAGTGTATTTATACTTGAGGAAAAGCCTTGCGACACTGAAGGTGGTAGTAAGGTTCTGCATGACCTCCAACCATGTAATATGAGCTGGTTTTTCCCTTCAATTAAAAAAGCAAACACCTTAAGAGTAGTCAAATCCCCAAAACGTTTCTTTCCTATGTAGAAAACGGTTTCATTTTTGATTAGTGACCATCCTTACCACTCGGAAATATCCGGAAGTGGCCATTTCCATCCCTTTCAGTTGAATATGATATGTTTCCGTCACATAAAGTTAGAGGCGTATGTAATTGAGGTTGAGGTTAAACGTGCAGACCTTTGCCATTTTTTGTATCCCCTCTGACGCAGACCATTAGCAAACATCTGTTGAACCAAAGCTTTAAAAAAAAAAACAAGGCTGTCATGGTGGCAGAGGGGAATTCTTCCGATGCCCCTCCCTGTGCTATTTTAAGTAGGCCCTGAAGTTTGTGTTTAATGATAAGCTGTGGGGCGTAGCTGACATGCCTGCCATATTATTCCCTTTACGACTCAGGAAGCAATGGCAACATTTCCCCCCAACCCTTCAGGGGTGTGAATTATTTAAACTCCATCATCAAGTATGTCCAATCAACATGGCTAATAGTACCCTTTTGCTGTGGGTTATCTCAAGTGGTGGATAGCTTTGGAAACAGACAAGGATGCTATTTTTGTAAGTAGGCATTACCCAGAACTGTTTCCATTCTTGAAACTGAGTTACCAGCTGATGACTCATGCCAATCAAACATTATGTATTTCATTTGAATTTGAACACACTGGCTAAGTAATGAGAGATCATGTGAGAGATCATTCATTCATATGGATGTGGAGTTGAATTTTAAAACACAGGCTCCCCGGTATCTATGCTTTGTGAGGAAGAGTGAAGGAAGAGTTGTGTCAGACGAGACTCCACTCCAGATAAATAAATGATCAGTCCGCCACAAACATCAAAGAGGGATTGTGTGCTTCAAAGGGAATAAGGGCCTCACAGGTCCTATAGTGAAGAATGAACACACACACACACACACACACACACACACACACACACACACACACACACACACACTCTGTTTCTATAATGCAACCTGTTTAACATTCTAATGGTTGCATCTGCATTGATCATCCTCTGCCGAGCCAAACCAATGCTCCTCAATCTGAGTCTGTTTCGGTGGCAAGACCAGCTGGAAGATACCCAAAATGCTTTGATAAAATGTGTCTCTTGAATCATTATTCATGTCTATGTTTTTGTAAATGCACCTTCCCTTTTTTAACCCTGTGGTGCCTGAAGAAGCACTCGCACATGTGTTGCTTTAAAGCCCTCATTCCTACAATACCTGACACAGCTTGGTCACAAGGTTTCATCTCACAGACACCGTTAATGTGCGCATAAATTAAGCTGACTGGCCTAAATTGACCATTGGTTGTGTTTTCTTTTCTAGCCTGAAACAAGTGTCTCTCTCTCTCTGGTTGAGCATTGTAATAATAATAATGTATTACATTTTGTATTAGAGCACTTTTACAGGTGCTCAAAGCGCTTTACAATGACAGATTACACATATTAGACATGTAAGAGTCATTACTGTGGACATTACCCACAGGAGTAAATGCGGGTTAAGTGTCTTGCCCAAGGACACAACGGCCTGACGCAGAGGCGGCTGAGGCGGGATTTGAACTGGAGTTCACCAACGCCCCTTGATCTGATGACCAACCACTGCGCCAAAACCACCAGTGTAGTCCAAGTGCAGGACATTATGTCACATCTGCATACAAAAAGACCAATTGCTTGTTCTGTATCTGGCAAAAATGTGCATATTTCTCACGATTCTTGTGTTGTGTCACGTTTTTAGTTTTGTGTGTCTGGTAGTGGGTGTTTTGCTTTTCTCCTTGTCATGTTTTCCTCCCTGTGTATTGTCTGGTCTTTCTCCCTGTGTTTCCTGTCTGTCGTTAGTTTCCCTGGTGTGTCTAATTTCCTGATTGTTTTCACCTGTCATCCCTTCTGTGTCACCTGTGCTCATCAGCGTCAGCCCCGCCCCTGATTGTTCCCACCTGTGTCTTATTCTCATGTGTTTAAATTCCCCTGTCTCCCAGTGTTCCTTGTCAGTTCGTTTTTGTCGATTGCCATGGTCAGAGCTTTGCTCTTTGGTACTATATTAAGTTTTGTTCCTCACCACGTGAGCGATTTTCATTTTGTTCTCTATTTTTGTCATCTCAATCTGAGATTAGTTAGTGACCATTTTCTGTTCATCGTGTTTTAGAAAAATAAAATTGGTAATCTTACCAATACTTTACCTCTGTCTCCCGGGTCGTGCATTTGGGTCCTACCTCCTAAGTGTTTGAGTTCTTAACAATATTAGCAGTATATTGACTCTTTATTAGTCATTATAAAACACTTATTAATGCCTTCTTCTACATAACCATATTCTAAAAGTAATAGGCTCATATTGAGCAGAGCATATTAAGACCAAAACTCATGTACAACAACTTCCTTACTTTCAATAAATAAGCACTAATTAGAGGGTTATTGAGGGAAAACTCTCAACTAAGGGCCTATTGTACGAGGTGAGGGTCTGAGGACAGAGGGTGTCGTTTTCTCATACTGATATTCTGCACAAACAGTGATGTTGTATTTGCTGTAAAGTGTCTTTACTGTAGGGTATTTTTATTATATGTACAGCACTTTGGCTCGACCAAAAATCGTTTAAAAATGTGCTATATAAATAAAACTTGATTTGATTTGATTACTTGTAGAATAAGGCATTAATAAGTGTTTTATAATGACAAATAAAGAGACAATATACTGCTAATATGCATGTTAATGAACAACTAGTTGATGGTTACTTTGTGTACCTTAATATAAAGTGTTACCAAGTGTGCTTGTAAAACAAAGTAAAGTTAAATAGAAATAGACGTGGTCTGGATTAACCCACTTTGTGGCAAATAATGAGTCCCTGTTTCCTTCTTCTCTGTTCAGTATTTTCCTTTGAATGCAAATGTACTATTTTTAAAGCACTGCATATGCACATTTGTCATCAAGCAGTTGACAAAAGAAAAACAATATGGATCAAAACCATCAAGAAAGACATGCTTCACAAACCCTGGATGTTTAAAAAAATATGATCTCAAAATGCTTTTTGCACCTGTTTGATTACCATGTTTACCATTAAGGGGAAATACGAGTCTGAGGAAGCACATGTTGCTTTTCATTTGTATTAACATCTTGCTTTTTCTTTTTTCTCTTCCCTTTGTTGTTCTTCCCCCTCTCTCCCAGCTCTCCGTTACTCTTGCTGTCTCATCCTTCTTCTAAGAGTGGGGGATGTCTGTTTTCTAACACCTTTCGGCCTGCTTATCTACTCGGTCTGTATTGCTATAATTTGGTATTTTCCAACCCCATTTGTTATTGTGCCTTTAACCCTCTTGATATCATGCCACCATCGGTTATGGGTCAGGGTGTGTGTGACAGTGATATGCATTGTAGCTTGCAACTCTTATCCAGAAATCTCGATTGTTCGTGATAGGCAGTGTGGTTCCAGGCCTGGGTGTTTGTTTGTTTGTTTGTGGGAAGCCTGCATGTGTTGGATCCGTGCCTGAAACAGTGCTTTTGTGTGTTATTGCTCAGTGCATGGCTATATCAAATGAAGACAATGCCATTCTTTCACGCTAGCTATGATTGTTCATTTATAATAGGGTAACATCATTCCTTTCCACCATTTCAACTCCAACGTCCAAAAACAATAATCTTTGTTTTTGTGACTGTGCACAGCGCTGTTTCATTCCCCTTTGTTGTACTTGCTATTGGAGGATCATATTTTCATTTTGCTGCACTCATATTCCAGCAAAACGTTTTATGTGGTACTTTTAATTACAACAAAGACTCCAACTTCTGAAAACAAAACTTTAATTGGCACCCAGCAGAGTGTCTTCCTTGCTATGCTGGGCTTCCAGTATCAGAGACTTCTCCATGCAGTCAAGCTGTGTGGGGAGAATCTCAGCTTGTCCCTTCAGGGTACTGGCTCTAGAAAGCACCGTCTAACTTAAACATATTTGACTGTAACAGATATACTCTCTGATCTACCATAGTCATCCAGTCATCCATCCAAATTGTTCCATATTGATGTGTCATGTCGGTCTTTTGTTCATGTTTAAAGCTTCTACTGAATGGCAAACGTCCTATCTTGGCGTTGACTTTGAAATTGCATCAGTGTGTTGATGCCGCTCGCCCAGCCTGTTGGGTTAGGGTGTCTTTAATGACCCCCTTCTTTTCCCTCATGGAAGATCTGTACACCTGCGACCAACACTGGACATGGAGGACTATGACGTTCGCTCGGCCGCCAGCATCATGGCCTCGGTGAAAGAGCAGGAGGCGCGTTTCGAGCAGCTGACCCGAGCCCTCGAGGAGGAGCGTCGCAATGTCACCCTGCAGCTAGACCGCTCCGCCCTGCCTCCCAACACCCCAACCAGCCAGCCGCTAGCATGGCAGCAGGTGGTGATGCAGGTAAATGATGCCAACGCCCCCGTCACGTTAAACCACCAACCAGCACCACCATGTGTCTACCTGTCTTCCTCTTGAAAGCGTCATTCTCTCCTGCCCCCTTCTTTCATCCGAGAAAGCCCATTGCATCGTCATGTCTCCTCATGGTCATTGCTTTGCATAATTGTTGGGATTCAATCATCTCTCTGTTCAATTTCCCTGTGATTTGGGGACCCTGTGTCTGAACCCACTGTCCCTGGTGTTGTGCAATAATCTGCTCTGTGGTGACTCATCTTCGAAAGGCAAGCTGATGAGATTCAACCTCTCATTTCTTCCTACGCCTCCTCCTTCTACGCCACTGCTTGCCGTTAAATCCCATCTCCTTTCGCCCACTGGTCTTTCATATTGTCTGGAGGTGCTGCTGATTGGATGTGGCCTTTTGCCCAGCTCTGGCCAATGTGTCTGGGACATTTGTGTCCTGGCCTGTGCTCCTTTTCGATGCTGGCGGACTCTCTGCAGGAGCAGGAAATGTAAGAGGCAGAAATTAGACTGCTTTAATCCCCCCCAAAGATGCCAGCAGTCACAACAGCCCATTGATTTACACGGGAAAGAAAGAGCATCCTCTCAGACTGTACACATGTTTTACTAACCATTTGAGCGCACTACTTGGCACCTGCATCACTTTTAATCATGGTAAAGCTGGCAGCCTCATGTTTTATTAATATACCAAGACGTATAGAGATGAAACTGCTTCGCCTGCATTTGCCTTTGGTTGCATTTGCCTGCAGTCACATTTTGTTAACCGTCGTGTCAGTGTTCATTTTAAAAAGGCTTGCTGCCAATTTGGCCTCAACACGAGATAATGAAGAGGATTTGGAAGTATAGCATCATAGCAGGGTAAAGAAAAATGGTCTCCCACCACAGGGGTAATTTGCTGCTTTTAAATATTTGTGTGTGTGGTAAGAGTGAGATACCCTCCCCTCCTCATAAATGGCTCCATGATTCACTACACAGTGCTTGACATCAAAGGCGGTGAATTAACTCCCTCTTATGCACTCACTCACAAATCAGACTCACAGATAACCTCTACCCTGGTTGTTTGAGCAATTGGGAGTCAATTGAGCATAACGTACTACAACCATACCCAATAGTACTTCACTTTGAAATGCCATTCGGTCACCAGGCATTTGACATCAACACCTATAAATGCCAAAGCAAATTGGATGTACGGCTGGTGGGGGGGTGGGGTCAGTGTCTGCTCAGGGGCAAGAAGCTTGGCAGCGTGTGCGGTCAGTCGAGAGAGGGTGTGTGTGTGTGTGTGTGTGTGTGTGTGTGTGTGTGTGTGTGTGTGTGTGTGTGTGTGTGTGTGTGTGTGTGTGTGTGTGTGTGTGTGTTGCACCATGGGGCCATCTCCATTTTTTTTTTTTATAATGAGGGGGTATGAGCGATGAGGATTGCATCAGGTTGTTCTCTTTTTTTTTTTCTGTCTCTTCTTCACTTAGTTCCTCACACGCACTCCCCAGGTTGCAAAAATATCATTAACTGAGAGTCCGGATTCACAACCCCAGGGTTAGCCTTAATGAGGCCTGACATTAACTAAAGTTGGGGTCAGACAAGAAAAAGTGGCTTCAAATAGACACCTAATGCGAGTGATAAGCCACTCATTGAAATGGCACACTTCGTGATGTTCATTTCGGAACAGATCGGGTCCAAAGAACAACTAAAAAACATGCAACAAAGGCAGCGAAAGGTTCCTTTAGTTCACATAAATAAGTGTGTATTACTTAACACATTCACACAACACTTTGTCACTTCAACACTTCACCTTTTTTCTTGAAGCCTCCACCCTCAGTTTGCTGAGTTTAACACGGCCTGCTCTTCAGTCCAGTGCACTCTGGGTGGAGGTGAGGCATGGCCCTGGACTGCAGCCAAATGACTTATAACTAATCATACGGTGATGGTTTGACAGTGTTATGTGGAAATATGGCAGTCATTTCCTCGTCAAGAAAATGCGTGGTCCTTCTAGCTATTTCGTTCGGTGACAAATCTTCTTGTTACGTGAACATTACAACGTTGCATAATAGCGAACACTTTGGCTGCTCAGCTCTAAAGATGGCAACGTTCGATGGTTGGTCGGTACACCACTTTAGTTATCCTGTCTCTAATGGGAAACCAGAGAAAAACATTTATTCCTGAAGTTAGACATGCTGTTGACCCTGGAGAGCACATTTTTGCTAAACCTGCCATTCAAGAGCATTGGTTGAATTGCACACATCCCTCCTCCTTGACAGCAATCCAGGCTTTCAATGGTGGGTCATTTAAACTGTAGGAATATTTTAACTGACAATGAAAAACAGTCAAAATATGTTGTGTTATCCTAACTAAAGAATTACTGCTGTCACCACTACACTAACAATAAAACAGACCACCCATGCAACCAACGTTAGGTAGCTGAGTATCTTTTATTACCCTTTACCTTCTAACACCATTATTGACCCATAAAGATGGAAAGTACAGATAACTGTCATATTGGCTCCAATATAAGAAGATAGATTATGTTCAAGCATTGCCAAAGTACAGCTCTGGCAGAGACTTAGCTTAGCTTTACACTTTTTCGACACACCATTTTTAAAGTCTTGTGCGGTATCGATATAACAGTGTTAGTCGCCACATTGCATCATTGTCTTGCGTCTCTGGTCTGGTGAAATGACTAGAAACATTACATTTTATTGATATCTATGAATTTGCAGCTCAAGCGTTTAAGTCTGCAAGAACTATATTTAGCTAGACATCATGTTTATTGATTATTAGCACCAATATGTCTATGAACAACCTTGTCGAACCAACAATGAAGGCAATTTCGCATTCAAATTGAAGCTATGTAAGAATCCCAGGTGGTTTTCATTGCTCAAAGTGCGCCAGAGAGTTGAATGTTTTCTTTGCTTTTTATTTGTCATACTGGAGGGGAGACAAAATAATTCACCGAGCCACAAATAGCTTAGATGAGTGGCTTAAAAATAGCATTTTATGATATTTAATTTGTCCCTGTATGATGATAACACGGGGTAAATCACAACAAGGCGCTTTAACACTCGTATTGGAAGTGTGGGAGAGGTCCTTGTAAACAGCACTGGCCTACTTTCCCAGACCTTACAAATTGCATTCAGATCCTTACTCACTTCAATATAACACCTTGTGAGTTTCAGCCAAGGGAGAGAATGAGACGGTGCGTTCCTGTAAGAAACATCAGAACAATGCTGTCTGACACTCCATTAGCTTCCCGGATGAAATTATCAGTAGAGATTCAGTGACACGGACCGAGACGCCTTTCAATCTGCATCCTTACAGCCCCAACACGACAACACTCGCATGCTACGATCGGACCCTTTCTTCATTTGATATTGTGGTAATTGATTTTAGCCTGAAGGAGCGTTATCGCCGAGGCTCTGTAAGGTCAAGTGACGCATGGGGAAAGTTGTATGTACGGAGAGAAAGGCAGACAGCACTCAGACAACCACGTCTGCTTTGAGCTAAAGGAGAAGGTGACCTCATTTTATATACAGCAGACGCCTGATCCATCTACCCATTACCGCTGTCCGCCATGTGCACTGATCCCATCTCGCTGCATTGAAAAGCAAACTGTGGGTAAACTCCACTGTGGGTATCGCTGCTATGTTGTAAATGTATTATCTTTTATCACACGACAACTATTGCACGTCTGACCATCCTGGGGGAAGGACTCCCTCCTCTGTTGCTGTCGGGTTTCTTTGGGAGTGTTTCCTTGTCCAATGTGAGGGTCTTAGGCAGTCGCGGTTCTAGACCAATTTTACTGGGGGAGGGGCAGGCTCGGGCCAGTTATTTCATGAGAGGGGCACAACAAAAGCGGGTTAAAAAGACAAAGACAGTATAAAGTAATTGTGTAAAATAAACATAAAATACAGTAACGGTATTTGTTTTAGTAACTTTAAGTTACAATCTAATTAAAAAACAGAAACAGTATTTGCTTTCATAAGGTAATGAACAGTTTAATCTCCACTGTACATCCGGGTCTCTGATTTGATTTAGTTCCAATAAATCGTAATATTATAACCTTTTTTTTTTTGGAGGACGGCCACACGGGGGTCCCTGGTTAGTGTCACCCCCCCCTAGAACCACCCCTGGTCTTAGGACAGAGGCAGTCATATTACATTACATGTTATTGTTAGACGCTTTTATCCAAAGCGATTTACATACTCAATACTGTGGACAATCCCCACAGGAGCAATTTGGGGTGAAGTGTCTCAGCACAACGACATGCTGACTACAGTGGGGTTTGAACCTGTGACCCCCTGATCCAAACACCAACCCACTGCACCACACGCCCCCTTTCATATTCTGCACAATCTGTAAAGCCCCCTGAGACAAATGTAAATGTGTGATGTTGGGCTATATCAATAAACCTCGATCGATGGATTGATCATGAACCGTTGGTGTTCAGATGTTATATTCAGCGGGCTTCGCAGGCACATCATCCTCTTGTGCAAATGTTGTGGGAAGTTTTCAAAGGCTTGTGAGCTTCAGAGAGAGGGAACAGTGCAGCCTTTGATCTGTGTTGCTGTCTGTGGTGAAGATGTACAGGCGATGGCACAACACTCAACCAACACTCGCTCCAGCCGCCCTCCACCCAACTTTCATCCCCACAGAAGAAACCCCCCCCCCCCCCATAGCCCTGTCTGGGCACAATGGAAACAAAGGACTAAGGGTGCTATAGTGACAGAAGATCTATCCTCTCACTGGCAGGGCCCGGGAGCCCCTGTTCTCTCGTAAATCAGCTGCCTAACAATGAGCCTTAGTTTACCCCCTTCCCTCCTCCATCTCCCCCTGTTTGTTCCCCTCGCTGTGCCATCAGAAACATTCTCTCCGCCCATAAACACCCTAATTACCTTGGTGTGAAAGTGCCTCCTTTGTTTATCTCTGTATACCACACTGTTCCCGTACCCTCCCACACCACTTTTGCAGCCTCCAGATAAGTCACATTTC